TTCAGGTGAGTTTTTAGGGGGGTCTCAGCCCGGTTTTTGGTGGGTCTCACCCATCTGCATGCAGATCTCCCCGATGGCCCAGGTGGCGTTGTTGCAGACGGAGATGAACTCGGGGTTCAGGTTGGTGCCCAGGATGGGCATGAATTCAGCTGGGGAAGGGGGGGGACACACAGGTGAGCCTCCCTCAACTTTGGAAGGGCGTTTCCCCCCTCGAGGACCCCCAAAACCCACCGATACAGGGCTTGACGTGCACGAAACAGGCCTTGGTGAGGTCGCCCAGGAGGGCGAAGGAGCTTTGCCGCACCTCGGGCATCGTGTCCTGGGGGGACAAGAGTATTTCAGGGGAGGGTCCTGGTGCCCCACCGAGGGATTTGGGGGGTCGTGGAGGGGTCCCCCCTCACCTGCATGCACTGGAAAAGCAGCGTCATGATGTTGGAACGGGCCACCAGCTGCTCCACGTGGCCCCCGAGCCCCTCGGCGAGGCCGCTCAGCAGGTCCAGGGCCACGATCATAAAATCCTTGTCGGGGGCTTCGTATTGCTCGGGGTGCTGGTTGTACATCTAAGGGGGTGGGTCAGGAAGGGGTTGGCACCATGGGGGACAACCCTGGCACCCCAAAAATGCCCCGAGAGGGAGGGAGGGGGGGGCTCACCATGGCCTGGGCCAGGGTTTTTTGGACCAGGGTGACGCAGCGCTGGTAAACGGGCTCGCAGTAGGGCAGGAACCCGCTCTGCAGGGCCGTGGCCACCGAGGACAGGCACTGGGGGGACACCCCAAAACAGGTCAGGCACCCCCAAAACAAGGGGGGTGTCCCCCCGACTCGGGGGATCCCCCCAGTTTTGGCTGGAGTCAACGGAACCACCCCAGTAGAAAGTTCCAGTCCCTGCTCCCCCTCGGCTCAGGGGCAGCCCCCACACCCAACACACTCTCCAGACCCCCCAAAATGGGGGACAGGCATAGGGGAGACACCCCAAAAACAGGTCAGGTCCCCCCCCCGACTCAGGGGATCCCCCCAATTTTGGCTGGAGCCAACAGAACCCCCCCCCAAAACCACCCCAGTAAAAAGTTCCAGTCCCTGCTCCCCCTTGGCTCAGGGGCAGCCCCCACACCCCACCACTCTCCAGACCCCCTAAAACGAGGTTCCCCCCCCCCCGGGGACCCCCCAGCCCCACCTCCAGCAGCGGGAAAAGGTCCTTGTCCTCATCCTTGAGCTCGTTCCACTTCTGGATGAGCGGCGGCATCAACTTCTGGATGTACTCCTGGGACAACAGGGGGGGTCATGTAGAGGGGGGGACACGGGGGATACACGGGGGGGGG